TTTATAATATTCATTTTCGTTATTTATTTTATATTAATAACAAAATAAATATTATATTAATTATAGTTAATTTTAGATGATAAAAAATTTATCGAATTTGATAAAAAAGTAATAATAAATTATAATTCAAAGATCATACTATTATGATATACAAAAAAACAGACGATGCGCTTTTACTCAATTGGCAAATATCCAATTCTGCAACAAATCAGAACTATCCGACTAAATTTTTAATAATAGAATGCTAAAGAAAAAGATAGAAGATTTCATTTATATTTGAGGATTTAAATAAAACAATTTTTTTTTTTTATATAATATTCTTTGATATTCATCGCTTATAAACAATAGTATTAATCTAATTCAAGATATAAATATGCACTTACACCAATGATAATGGCACCACCACTAAGAAAGTAATATAAACAAGCAAGTGTTTGTGCCATCACGAATTTATTTAGAAAACACTTCAACAATATGAACAATATAAACTAAGAAAAAGAAGAAAATATCACCAAATATTGAGCAACTGTCGCCACGGTGACCAAACGCACCTCAAACTTGAATCGTCATTTTTTATAGCACTAAATCTAAAATTAGAAACATAATTAATTTTGTGTTGTTTTTATCGACATATTTTATATATTATTATTTTATCTATATATATACATTTAATTATTCATGTTTTCCATTAATTAAAATCAAAAATCAAAAATGCGGTTGTCATGAACAAAATATAGTATAGATGTAATATCGTATAATTTTAATGTTAATTTTTTACATTCATTACAATTTAAAGTGAAAATTTTAAAAATTACACTTAAACTAATTAATAAATATAATAAAATTAACAAATAAAATATTATAAAATACTATAAAAATATTATAAAAATAACAAATAAAAAATATAATAAAATTTTGAATTTGTTGTATATGTATATTTAGAAATGATATGAAATTCTACAGAATAGATTTCATATCTATTTTATATTTCGTTTATGCATATGATTCATATAAGAAACAAGGTTACTATTATTGTTTAGAATGTAAATAATATTGATTAAAAATCTTTTTTAATATAAGACTTTAATATAAGATTTTTATTATAAATAGTTAAATCATTCATTATGGATTCAGAGAAAAATGAATTTTGTGATTTATCTGAAATTATTTTAAATGAAAACATTGACAGTACTACACAAGTACGTAATATTAAAAAAATATAAATGCAATTTAATAAAATTTTATTTTTATTGAAATATAAATTAATTTTAGTTTCATAAGACACTAAAACGACCAAAGCGTGTATTACATTTTTCGGATGGTGATTTAGAAGAATATTCTGAAGATGAAACAGATTCAAAAAGTGTAAATAAAACACTGAACCAAATAGATCCAGTTAGGTTTTATTTATAATTACATTCATTACAATTTATAATTACTTATAATTATAATATATATTTATAATTATTATTAAATTAATTCTTTAATTTTTTTATTCCATAACTTCCATTAAATAAGATCAATAAAATTTTTTTCTAGAAAACTCTAAATTGGTTACCTTGGGCATGGTATCAAACTACTTCAATTGGTAATAAATTATTAGATGGATGTGATTATATGGGCGAATGGTTAGCTAATTTTTTTGGTATCACAGCACCTAAATATCAGTTTGAAATCAATGAATTTTATAGACTTCAAGCTCTTGAAAATGAGATGATACATAAACAAGATTTAGAAATGGGTGGATGGAATGAAAACAATAAAAATAATCTTGTGAATAATATACAATAAATTTATAATTTATGTTTTATAATATACTTTCATTAAATTATTAATTTTATATTAATAAAGAATATTTATAATATATATGTTAAAAATATGTAAGTTATAGGATTAACTATTATAATAATTATATTTATTTATTCTAATATTAAAAAATGTCATTTTTAAAAATACCTATAGTATTTTTATTTTTTTACATATGTATTTAATATAGTATAAAAAATTTTTAATACCAGAATGTATTATATTGGACTAACATAAAATAATATTACAAACATTTAAATATAAAAATGTTATTTTTTTTTTAGAAAACTTACAATAATATAAATAACAATATACTATAATTTTTCATTTTATTTGAAATTGCATATGAATTAATTTTTTTATTTAATAATAATATTGTTATAAGTTGTATATATAAAAGATTTATATACAACAATTTTTTTGTTTTAGAAATATTTAGTATTAAAATATTTTTATATATAAGTTTGTAATACCAATTCTAGTTCAGAAATCTTATATAATTATATTATATAATATTCTTATACAAACTGTATGTAATGACTTTAAATCATACATAATTATTAAATATAATTATTTAATAAAATTATAATTTTTGTAGCTATCACTTCATGTTTATAAATTGGTTTGAATAATACTTTATATAAATCTCTTATTCAATCTTGAGAATGTTTCCTTATTATATAGAATTATTTTTATTTTTTTACTATTAAAAAAAAAATTCAAATTGTAAAAATAAATGGAATGATACCATTTTATACTATTAGAAGTTTTTATAAAGAAACATTCGTAATTTCTTATTTTTAGCATAGCATATACAATTACTTATCTGCAGTCTTGATAGCAGAAAACTAATATTTAATTTTATATGTTTATATGAGTAGTCTTTTATTTTATGCTTTCAAAGCTCAAAAAATTATGTTTCTGGCACAAACCTATGTAAAGCACTAGTTAAGACTAGTAAAGAGCTTTGAAGGCCCTGAGGTAAATGCCTTTGCAACCACGAACCTTTATATTGTTCTATATGAGCCAACATTTTATTTGCTACATCTGTTCTAAATGTAGGTGGTAGATTACATATTCCTAAATTAATCACTGCAAGACCCATATTACTATTAGGATTAACACCAACACCAATTAATGTTCTGCCAATTTTGCATGCTGTCAACATTAAATCGGCGGTTAATTGAAGTTCTTGTATTTCCATCGACGCAAATTTTGATGATAAATTTCCTTCATATAATGAATGTGAAATACGTTTAACTTGTTTTGTTACTTTCTATTAAATAAAAGTATTTGTTTATTATATATTTCTTAATATATAATTTTTTAATATATAATATAGTATATATAATTTTTGTATTTTTACATATATTATGTGTATATAATATATATATACTTATATATACTTACTGCAAATAAATCAGCTGAAAGATATTCTAAATTTACATTATCCGGATCTGTTAATAATCTATATAATGTTGATCCTCGATTATCAGGAATTTGTTGCAAATCTTTTGTTCCTTGATTTTTACTTAAGGTAAGTACTAAAGTATCTAAACGTCCTAATTCTAATATTGCATTACCAATTTTATATTCAGAATCTTGAAAAACATGAACATCTAATAATTTTGTGATACACTTTTGTCTGTAAAATAAAATTATATTTATTAAAATTTTTTATTTATAATATATTTATATTTAATTATCATCTATTATATTAATTATAAATTATTACTAATTTATTTATTACCTTGATCCAAATATTTCAGATATTTCATAATTATCGTCGATTCCTATATCTATTTCACTAACTGGGTTCCATGCTAATCCTGCTGCTATTAAATATCCAATCCATGCAAAAGGATGAGGTGTAAGATGATGACTTCCAGACCAATGAGCTACAACTATACCCACTGAATCTTGTTCAAGAGAAGTTTTTATTGCATTCTTTGTATTTGCATATGTTGATGCTGGACATCCTGCTAAGCTGTTATAACTTGCTGTTCCAGAACTGGGTAATACATTACCACCTGCTATTCTAAATGCTTCTGTCCATTCAGAAAAATCATAATCAGCCTATAATATAAAATCTCATTATAATGACTTTGATTTTATTATAATTTCATAAATTGTATAATTTTGTTTACCTGAAATCCATATTCAACAAGAATAATATTGCTAGGTATGTTATGAAATTCCGCTTTAGAATGTAATCCATTAGAACAAAGCAATAAAGTTGTATTTGGATTTAAATTTAAAATATGCCAAAGTTCTTGAAGACAAGAATATGATTTAAATACTTCTGACATATCTGTTTCTATAGTTTCGTTAATTGACAAATTCAAATCGAAATTTTCAGCTTGAACAAGTAAATTAGCCAATCTAGGTCCAACATGAACATAAGTTAAACTCGGAAATACTGCTAATAATTCTTGAAATATAGGCCACATTTGTGATAAATGATGTTGTCCTACATTAGAATCAACATCCAAAGTTGGAACTAAATCTAAATGTCGATCTCTGAAATAATAATTATTTTAGAAAATATTAAATATATATGAAAAAAATAATTTTATAGAATTATGTGCAAACCTGCAATAACGATCAAGAGTAACCATTTCTGATTTTGAATAACATAATTGCCAATCGCAATTTGGTGTAAGTCTTGAATATAAATGCAAATAAGATATTTTAAAGGACGACCATAAATCGATCATATGAAGCAAATATTCTAATGTAGGTATACGTCCTCTAGGTGAAATATCTAATAATATACCACGATGCATAAATCTTGGTTCATCTTTTATAAAAACAGGTTCAATTTCACATGCTTCTGATTTACTATGATTTTTACTTAATCGCAAAATTTGTACAAAAGTACAAACTGCATAATGTAATCCAGCTAAACTTCCAGCACCAACTTTAATAGTATTTTGCGAAATATGTAATTGATATCCTTCAGATGTATTAAACAATTTTTTATTTACTATACATTCAATTCGGTTATCATTAAGTAATTTACCAGAACTAGGATGTACTTCACCAATTTTAACATCATAGCCTAATTCTAATAAATGAGTTCTGCTAATTTCCCAAACATCTAATATTCTATGTATGGATTCACTACCCTGTGTAATATAATCTATTAGATATAAAAATAAAATGTATTATGTTATGTTATAGTTATGTATATCAAAATGATACCTGTATTATAGATATAAAAAGCTCTTTTCCAGCAATAAAAGGTGTAGAAAAATTTTTTAATTCAACAATGGTTTTTGGTTGTGGCCAAAGTAAACTATAAAGTCTACCTTTCTCTGTAGTCTTAATTGGACTTTCTTTGCCTGATTCACGTAATGGTACATCATAAACTGGATCTAATGATTTATTAGATTCTATTGAAAGTTGACTCATGTTACTTGAAATACTTTTTTGACAAAAGTTTCCTTCTGTAAATGTTGTAGTTGGACTATGCATTGTTTCACTCTCGTTCGATATAAAGTTTGATAGAAATCTTTGAAGAAAACAGTGTAAAGATTGTTTTCCTCTAGAAAGATCATATGGAGTTTTTCCTGCAAAAGTTCTACAACAATTTTTGAAAATATATCAAAGGTACATTATTAATTAATTTATTTATTATCTATATATAATTTATATACCCTTTAATCGCTCGTATAAGAGGATTTGCACCAGCTTGTAATAATTCTTGACAAATAGTAACATCACCACGATTTACAGCATCATGTAATGGTGTAGCACCACAGCCATTAACAGCATTTACATCTGCACCTCTATCTACAGACAAGAGATTAAATTACAAAGTAATAATTAAAT